GCATCGGTTCGAAAATGTGCACAAGTCAAGTGATATACACCCTGAATTCCATTTTTTGAAATATGCACCACAAAAAAGAAATAAACTCCATAAAAGCTCAATAGTAAACACACTGTCATTACTCCGTACAGACTAGCACGTCGATACACTTAGTCCGTGCCATAGATTTTGGTCAGGAAAAATATCACAAGTGGAAAGAGAAGTTATTTGGTATTTGCGCAGCTGAAAGGGGGGGGGGGGTATTATAACTGCTGTTCATAAGCTATAATTGTGAATTGTTTATCTACATGTAGTTCTAATCTACATTCTATACATAGTCGTGTATATAGTCTGTAATTGGTTTGCGTCGCAAAATTCATTTGTCAATTATAACTGATTATTTTAGTACTAATCTCAAATCTAAACCAAGTTATTTGATGTACGGTAATAATTTACCTCAAATCTTAAAAGCAATTAACCAGAATACAAATTTTTATGTGAACATCTATACATTCTTTAACACATACACACACGGAGAAAGGCCATCCCCTGTTCAGATTGACATTTAGACATTTAATTTTTTGGAGGGGAAGGGGAGGGCATAAACAATGTTCTAAACAATGAAGTAAAGAAAAGTACAAGGAGAGATAAAAGACACTCTAATAATGTAATAGCTACAGAAGCTGAGGAAGCGGCAGAGAAAAGAGACTTCTGTACCATGTACAAAATCACAAGAACCCTGGCTGGGAAAAGACCACCACAGACCAAGCCAGTAAAAGACAAGGAAGGCAACACTATAACAAAGGAAGAAGACCAGAGAAAGCGCTGGACAGAACATTTCAGAGAACTCCTAAATCGACCAGCACCAGAAACAACACCAAACATACCACCAGGAGACTCTGAACTAGCAGTGATCACCGCCCCTCACACAAGGGCTGAGACCATCAAGGCTCTGAAGAAACTGAAGAGTGGGAAAGCAGCTGGGCCTGATGGAATCCCTCCAGAAGCCCTTAAAGCAGACACAAAGACTTCAGCAGACATGCTACTACCCTTCCTGCAGAAGATATGGTCAGAGGGAAAGGTACCAGCTGATTGGAAAAAAAGGACATCTAGTGAAGCTACCCAAGAAAGAAGACCTGGGACAATGCAAGAACTGGCGTGGCATCATGCTTCTCTCTGTCCCAAGCAAGATCCTAACAAGAATAATACTGGAAAGGCTCAAAGATGCTATAGAAGAACGACTTCGTCCTAAACAGGCAGGCTTTAGAAAGGACAAGTCCTGTACAGACCAGATCGCCACTCTACATATAATAATCGAACAGTCACTGGAGTGGCAGTCAACACTGTATCTTAACATCATAGACTTTGAAAAGGCCTTTGATAGTGTTGATAGAAAAGTCATCTGGAAACTATTACAGCATTATGGAACGCCTCCTACCTTTATCAACCTGTTACAACAATTGTATGACGAGGCAACATGCCAAGTCATCCACAATGGAAGCTTACTGAAGCGTTTGAGGTACAGACTGGGGTTAGACAAGGCTGTCTACTGTCACCAATGATTTTTCTACTGGTAGTGGACTGGATCATGCGGGAGACAACAAAAGATAGTAAGACAGGAGTCCAGTGGACTTTCATTCAGTGTTTGGAAGACCTTGACTCTGCAGATGATCTATGCCTCATGTCCCAGCAGTATGAGCATATGCACCTCAAGACAAATAGGCTTGTAAAAGAAGCAACAAAGACAGGTCTAAAGGTGAACATCGAAAAGACAGAGGTGATGCGGCTCCACAATAAACAGAAAACGCCAGTTACACTTGGAGAGCACAACCTTAAAGATGTAGACTCCTCTACATACTTAGGCAGTATCGTCACAGCCACTGGTGGAACAGATGAAGACATAAAAGCTAGAATTAATAAAGCCAGACACATCTTCACCACCCTCAAGCCTGTGTGGAGTTCAACAGCACTATCCACACACATAAAACTCCGCATCTACAACACCATTGTTAAGTCTGTGCTCCTCTACGGGTCTGAAACATGGAGAGTCACCAACACCACCTCCAACAAACTACAAACCTTCGCTAACAGATGTCTGCGCCACATATTAAACATCAGATGGCCAGAAACTATAAGCAACAAGATCCTGTGGGAAAAAACAAACCAAGACCCAATCACTAAGCAAATAGCCCGCAGAAAGTGGCGATGGATTGAACATACCCTCCGAAAACCACCAGGAGACATTACACGGCACTCACTCGAGTAGAACCCACAAGTCAAACGGCGAGTTGGGCGTCCCAGGAAAACTTGGCAGAGGTCATGTGAAGAGGAGATCAGGCAATGTGAACACACCTGGGATAACTGAAAAGGGCTGCCCAGAATAGAGTGCGGTGGAGAACTGTTGCCGAGGCCCTATGTTCCACCAGGAACCAAAAGGATCCATGATGAAAGAACGTGATTGAGAGTGACCAATGTCACGCTATATCTCATGAATAACTTCAGTTTTTGGTTTTAAAACAAATAAAAAGAATATTCTTTACTTGTTTAATAGATTTTAAGCTTGACAAGAAATGGTGTTTGGATGTTGAGTAGATAAGGTAACTTAAACTGTATAGGTACTCTTGGCAAAATGTTGAGAAAATGAAAGCTCAATCACATATTTTTTTTATAATGCTTGTGACTTCGAAGACTTTGCTGCTCCTTGACTTCATGATATGTCCTGATAAATCACTTAAAATTCATACCAATATACAGCATTTTGATATGAAATTTTGAAGACCAAATAAGTAAAGATTCTTTTATATTATGTGTGAAATTTTGCCCGATTATGTCGTCAAATATTTATTTCTGTGCAACAAGTCTGCTTAATTTTTGAACGGCCCTCGTGTTTAAATATACTGTAGACGTATACTTTTTTTTCACGGGGTCATAATTACGCGGAATCTCAATCAATTACACATCTTTTCTTTAATTGTCCCAAAGTAAACCCAATTTGGACTCTTTTACAAGAATTGATATTTGAATAAACTGGAAAAATAATAAAATTTTATGTTTGTACTGTTATACATGGTTCTTCAACAGATGACACAGTTATCAATCTTATGTTGCTTCTTATTTAACTATACATATTTCAACAATCAAGAAAAAAACAAAATGCAAGTATTACTATCAAGTGCTATTTAATACTTATATTTGTATTACAAATGTGAAAAAAAATTGTATTAGTTTAACAATGAACTTCATGTATATAAAAGAAGATGGAATGACTGGAACCATATATTTGAAAACATAAACATCTAGATATAATGACATCTATTTTTTCATATTTGTGTAATTTGTTTTCGGGGTTTTTTTCTTGATATTCCAAAATTGTACATTTTTAACTCTCCCAGTCATGATGTGTCTCTGTATGTGTATGTCTGTTTAAAGTCAATAATGATATGTTTTTAAAAAATTGCGTTTAGAAAAATTACGCGGATTTCTCAGACTGTCATTACATGTATATGCATTGCATTTATACTAAGTACGCTTGGACAAATATCCGCGAAAAATTTGTGACTGCGTATATAACGTAAATTAATACCACGCGGAAAATGTACTTCTGCAGTATATGATTTATAATGTACACAGCACATGTCGATTTGTGTCAATTTATCAGTTGATTTTTTGTTATCTAGGTATGATATGGGCCTAACAAAAATAAACATGAAGTTGTTCTTATTTAGTTAGATAATACATTTTATCAACAATCCGACGTAAATTATGGCTGCACAAAAGCCTATTTTGTTTTTATTGCTGCTATGGATTATTTTAGCTAAGGTACGTACATGTATAACTACTGCTGTTGTTTCTAGCGACCCTTTACTTTTGACAAGATATTGAAACTCCCGCCATTTTCCTATTAAAAACACTGCAATCATTTATACGTAACAGTTTCTTTCATATTTGAATAGTTTTTTTTAAAGACTTGTTTTGTGAAACGATGTATTCTCCTGTCGGAAAAATTCTTCTGAGTTATTTTATAGATCAACTGAGGAAGAGTATTCTCAGTTGATAAAAAATGCACTTTAGCAAAGTCTGACAACAAATTACAATTTTTTTTTTGTCCGCGTATATTATTTATTACAGCCCGGAGGACCAGGCTGCTCTATACACATAAGTTTAAGTGTTGGTGTATGGGAATTAAGGTGGACGTAGTTAATCAGAATTAAAGGTTTTCTAAACATTGAAAAGATTGTTAATCAGAATGTTTTCCCTTTATAAATTACGAGATACATAATATATTTATTTCAATAAAGTGAATCTGTAAAAATATATATAAAGTTGCTTATCAATTACTATCGAAAAAACGACAGGTCCCCTTTTTTAGAAGATGGAATTGAGGCAAACCTCGTTATGCATAAATTATCCCACGTTTCCAACTGTTGTTAATGTCATTGGCATACCCAATTAACATACTAGACAGGACAGTGATTCCTTATATTTCCATTTCATCGTGAAATAAAAATAAAACTTTGGATTTAAAAAAAATGTATCATAGATTTAAACTACACAAGACCTCCCATGTCAATTTCAATAGTTCCTGTCCATGTTTTAACTATCGTTGATGCCATGGCATATCCATCATTGAACAAACTAGACAGTGATTCCTTAAAATTAAATTTAAATATATAGCAATATAAAATGCAAAATGGAAAAATGAAATACGTTATACGCTTTTCAAAATACCAAATACATGCATGTACATTTACTCCATGTTATTTTATTCATTTTTACTTCTACAGGTGTCAGTAGGGAAGATAACTTTCTTCATACACATAGATGAAGTGAAGAGTCCCAGTAATAAACTTCACGGAGGAGGATGTTGTCAGGGTGTGGCGGATAGCCAATGTACCAAGTTATGTAAACCTGTACTCACCGTATGTCTTAAGTAAGTGATGTATGACTTTTCTCACTTTGATAATACTGAGCATCTGCACACAGATTTTAAATATTTCATTTTTAATTACTTCAGAGACAGTATTCATTCCTGTGTGTCTAGTTTCACCACCACATTAGACATGAGACGACAAGATGTCTTTTATGGTTCTAAAGTTGGGAATACAACAAACCCCAAGTTTTTAGAAATAGATTCATGGGTAAATCTTATTATACCCCACGCAACAAGTTGCGTGAGGTATAATGTTTTTGAGACGTCCGTCAGTCAGTCAGTCAGTCAGAGTGTCAGTCCGTCAGTCCTGTTTTTTTTTTGTCAGTGCAACTCCTCATAAACCACTGCACATAATTTCGTCAAACCTTGCAGATATTTAGTACACAATGTAAAGATGTGCCTATTACCAAGAAATTCCGATTCCTTTTTTCTGGGAATTTCCACACTTTTCAACTTAGACTTTTGGCCATACCTTGAATAAACGAGGGACGTTCAATAAATAATGTCATTAGCTCAATGACATACAACATAGAAATCATTTGACATTAAGCTTGACTTTCTCTCATTATTGAATCTTTAATGAATTGATAACAGTTTATTTGACCACTTTTCATCACATAGTTTCATCGTGAGAAGCTGGAAAACAAGGGCTATTCGAGGCACTGCATTGTAAATGAATGGTAAAGAATCAATAAACTAGAGTGAAAATAAAAGCTACATTAAAGCTGCTGTAAAACGTGTTAAAAATCCCAAAGAAATTTTCACTGAAATATGTGACATTTGCATCAATCAATGCCTGTTTTATAGACAAATAAGGAAGTGGATTTCAATGATAAAAAATTATAAATGAGTGAAAACAACAGGGTGTAGAAATGTCTTAACAATTATTTTAAAATATCAGTAACTGTAGTTATCCAAATTTGTTTCATATTCAGACAGATAATGGAACATGAATCTATTGCTAAAAACACTCAATACAAAATTTACCATAAGATGTACTTGATAAAAACAGCAATGGTCCGACAAGAGCAAAGGTATGCAAGAACACAAAGACAGATTTATATGCAATTTTCTTAAATATTAGTTGTACTGTTGTTCACATTCGTATTCGGGGAGACAGTTTAATTTCTGGAGGAGTCTAGAAAGCAATCTTTTTGCAAAAAGATCGAAAGGTTTATTAGAGGAAGGACCTAGAATCAGGAATCCACTACATTAAATTTCTTCATGACAGCGTCCAAACCCTGCACCCCTGAAGAGTAAAGGGGTTTTCGGGATAAAAAGAAAGTTAATATTTTTTCACATTAACAATATTCGCTAGATCTTTTACCTTTTGACTTGTTTCTATTTCCAAACTTGAAAAACCACCTTTCAGAAAGAAAAAAACAAGTCCAGGAAATCATTGGATCTGCTATTTTCCAGTATACTAAGGGTCATACCCAAAAATGTGTTCTAAATACAATAAGAAATTATATAAAAACTTTAACGGACATCTATTTTAATCAAAAGAGATTAATAAGTATAATCATGAAGACTAAATCATTTAAAAGCGTCTTTTGCTTCTTTCCGAGCCCCGATGACATTATTTATTGTACGTCCCTCGTAGAGATGTACATTTTGTCAGCGCAGCTCCTCATAAACCGCTGCACAGAATTTCGTCAATTTTTGCAGATATTAAGGACACAATGTATAGATTTGCATATTACCAGGAAAATCCGATTCCTTTTTTTTTCTTGGAATTTCGGCACTTTTCAACTTAGATTTTTGGCCATACCTTGAATATAGAGATGAACAGTTTGTCAGCGCAACTCCTCATAAACCGCTGCACAGAATTTCATCAAACGTTGCAGATATTTAGGACACAATGTGTAGATTTCATATTACCGGGAAATTCCGAGTCCTTTTATTTCCGGTATTTTCAGCACTTTTAATTTTTGGGGAGCGTGGGGTGTGTGAGCTTGTTCAAGTTTTCTTTCATTAAGCACAAATATGTACACTGGAATAATTTTTTAAAATTTTGTACAATTAATTATTTATATTCAATAAATGTTATCTTATGAACTTAGAAAAATTATCTGGACAAGATATCAGTGAGAGTGGTAGATTTACAACACTCCTCCTCACCACTCATCTACCAGACAGAGTTCTCTGACTACAATCTTAAAATAGGAGACAACATACTGTCACAACACTGGCGACAAAAGAAACTAACAGCAAGTTATTTCTCGGATAAAAATTCTTTTTCGTAAGATAGAATTTGTTCTTTATTCACACCAACTAAACAATCCTCACAATCCTTAACTTAAAAAACTATTTTTTACTATAAAAATGTCAAATGACTTTCGTTTCAGTATCCAGTTAACGTACAAGGCGTACTGTTCTGAAGGTTACTATGGATCAGACTGTACAGCTCATTGTCCTGGTAATCCACAGAAGTGTGTCGTCAACGGTCACACCTACTGTAAAATGGGTAAGATATCCATACCTACTGTAAACTGGGTAAGTTATCCATACCTGCTGTAAAATGGGTAAGATATCCATACCTACTGTAAATTGGGTAAGCTGGAATAATTTAACCAACTAACCACTATGCTAGTCAATCTACAAATACGTGACGCTTTGTAAATTTTATGTTGAAACATCATAATTATAATTTTAAGGTCAAATTCAACCCCATGACATATATGCATGGGTTGTACTGAAAAAAAAAACTAGTAAAAGTCACAAAGAAGACTATTAAATTTACTTTTAATACAGCCAAAAAATAGTTTTACTAGGTATTTGGTAGATTTACAAGATAATATTAGAAAATCTTGTATATAAGTACCTCTCACTAGGATAGCATGTATCTATACGACCCCTTAAATATGAACGAAAATTTTCTAGAAATCCACTAGTGTTCAGCTGCACGTTTTTGTCATTTCATTTATCAAAACCAATACGAAGCGTTCTGATTTCATTGCATGGGATATCCAAGAACTTTTTTTTCTTAACATGTTCGAAATCATGTCGCAGTGGTTAGAGCGTTTGCTCTATATAATTAAGGGGTAAGGAGTAACCTAACATCGCGGGTTAGAAACCCAACGCGGGAAGTAAAATCCAGTCTTATGAATTTAGATGCTGTGTCGAAGTTTGTAATGGCAAAAACAAGATCCACTGCTCAAACACCGAGTATGTGTCCAAATTTGCAGCCCTCCACCTGCAAGTGGCGGTTTTTATTGCAATAGATTAACCTTCAAGAAAGAATCTACTTCCATGAACTCCGACCCGAAATTTTAATTATGTCTCATCGTATCCATGTCAGACTTCTAAAATCATTTTACACCTATATAATGTTTACTAAACATTGGAAATATATTAAAGGTAAAATTCATGTTTGATTTTTGTTTGTTCTTTTTTAATGAGTCCTACTTGCCCTTGGATATACATGTTCAATATATCAAAATTGAAACAAAAAGCAGATATATGGACCATTCTATTTTTCTCAATTACACTAATATGTCATAATATAGAGCATGGGATATATAAAATTACATTTTTTATTGTTTTGATTTTTACCGTAATTGACCTTTAACTTAGAATATTAAAGTCAACACATCAGTATCAATATAATTAATGCAAATGCTGACCAGGAATTTAGAAGGGTCATTTAGATGGTAATGTTTGACTATACTGTATAAAAGGTTATTTACCTCTATCTTTTTTATTTAATTTTCATCTTATCACACTTGCAACCACTTGTTTCCCGAATTTACCGAGATACATTTGAATTTGTCCCATTTTAAATTTGCCTAATCGTGACAAGGTCAAGAGGGCAAAAATTAAACGGGAGCAAGATTTTTCCTGCATTGAGAAATTTCTAATATGCTAAATAAATCTTTCATACAGATATTTTTTGTTCATTTTTCTCCTTAACGAATCTGGGGGGTGGCAGCCATTTTCAGACTATTTCGATCTATATATAGAGCTCCATATAAAAATACGAGGGTTGTCACGTAAAATCGTGGACAAGCTAGTTGTCTAGTGTGAAAAATAAACATCACTGCGTTCTGAAATGTTCACTATTATTTAGTACATATTTTAGTAATATATACAGTAAATTTCAGATAAATATATGCATAAATAAACAAATTATGTGATTTTATGCCATGTATTGTATCAACTTACGGCGCATGGATTATAACGTCAAAGTGTCTAAAACAGCGTTGTTGCAACCACTATTGAAATAACGACCACTATTGAAATAATTATATCAATAGTAGTTAAGAGTGCATTTCAATAGCAATATAGTTAGTAACCACTATTGAAATACGACCACTATTGAAATAATTATTTCAATAGTGGGTGAGATTTATTTCAATAACAAACATAGGTTGCACCCACTATTGAAATAATGTTAACTAATGAAATAAAGATTTCAATATTGATTAAATTATGGTTTTAGTTTTGAAGTATTATCAGCAACTATCAAAATGATTATTTATAACACCTTTGAAATTATTATTTCAAGAATTTTATATCTAAATCTTCCCTTAAGGACAGATTATACAAAAAATATGGATGCCTGGATTTATATATATTTTTGGTCTGACTTCATTGAAAATGATGCAAATAATATCTAGAAATTGTAAACCCTCTTTGATGTTCAAAATTCTGCCTCACTTAAACCATCCATATTAATTTATACACTTTAATTATTAATCTGTATACGGTATCTTTTTCACTCCAAATCCAATTTTTGTGAAATTTTGGATAAAAAATGAAAAATTACGCGGTGAAACTTTTCTTTCAATGCTGGCCCTATCTCAATAGTGGTTGAAACCTATGATTATCATATTGAAATGCACTCTTCCCCACTATTAATTATTTTAATAGTGCTTGGTTGAAACCTATGGTTGTTATATTGAAATGCACACTCACCCACCATTGAAATAATTATTTCAATAGTGGTCGTATTTCAATAGTGGTGACTATCTATATATGCTATTAAAATGCACTCTCAACCACTATTGATATAATTATTTCAATAGTGGTCGTATTTCAATAGTGGTTATTACCTATGTTTGTTATTGAAATGCACTCTCACCCACTATTGATATAAATATTTCAATAGTGGTCGTATTTCAATAGTGGTTACTAACTATGTTTGCTATTGAAATGCACTCTCAACCACTATTGGTATAATTATTTCAATAGTGGTCATTATTTCAATAGTGGTTGCAACACAGCGTCACGTTTTATCTTTGCTGAAAATGAAGTTGGATCAGTCCGACTTAAATTTAGGAATCTCATTGATACACATTCTTTAGTCTCCATAAACAGTCGAAGAACCAATTGGCACCCTCAGGTGATCACGAAGATTTATCAGTAGCTTACGGACAATATTTTCACCGTCATTCAACTAATAGAAAATCTCATATCGGCGGTCTACTGTGACAGCGTCTTTTGCTATTACATTAGGAGTTTTCTCGTATGTTTTGAACTCTCCAGGGACTCGATCAAAAAAGACTTCGCTAAGAAAACTCCTATTTCATTTGTATACTAAAGATATGGTGATATTTTTATAATCTTTTTTCTTCTATGGTCATTTCAAGTCTCTAAAAGTGTCATTACAACATCGAATTAAAACGAAACTGATCTCCGGTGCGCCGTAACGTCATAAAACGTAGCCATTTTTCGTGTGTTGTGTTTACCACTTTTCCATTTCGAATGCTCGAGAAACTGCCAAAAATTAACCAAATGCCTTAAAATTTTTACAAAGACTACAAAATTGATTGTGGAATTGAATAAGGGTAATTTTAATCCAAATCTTATGTATTTAAAACTTTTATTTTGAATTCAAACTCGTGTATTCTTTAATAAAACTTTGGTTTTTTGTCCGCGCGCCGTAGGACAATACCCCGTGAACATTCAAGCATAATAAAATCTTTTTTTTGTCTATATTTTATCAAATAAATTATCATGCATTTAAATATGATAAAGAAACATTTGCTGAAATTTTCAGCTAAGTGCGCCCATTACTTTTCGAGAAAAACGCTGTGTCCTCGATTTTACGGGACAACCCTCGTATACAAAAATGATCAAATTCTAAAACTAGAATGTATGATTTTTTTCTTTGCCCAATGATTGTTGACAGCTTAAGATACCATATCTAAAAAAATCAGTTAAATCTGGTGATTAATTTGTTAACCCCCAGCCTCCTTAAAACTAAAAAATGGATTTGCAAAATTCAAACAAATTTTCAGCTTGTCCTCGTCATGTAGACATTATATATCAAATTTTAATCTAGATGTTCAAACATTATTTTTTTTATCAAACATTGTGCTTTTTCAATTATTGATTCTCAAGAGGGTTGCACGAGGGGTTGTCAAAAAGTTTGTGAAATCTTTGAATAACTTCCATTAAAAATGGTTTGAGCATAGAATTGAGTTGTCCTCTCCGATTGTAACGGGCATTTGCAACCATTCTGTCCATGCGTGAATCACGTGATGTAGGCGATCTTGTAACATAATCCCTAGAGTTTTGTTACAGAAGTTCAAAGATATTCCTGATTCTTATATTTCTTATTTTGTGAGTTATTTTTAAAAAGGACAAAAACACCCATTTGTTACGTTTGCTAAAGTCGCTATGTTTTAGTGCTCTCTGTCATACTTTTTGATAATGTCAAACATAGTTTGATAACATTTAAAGTGACGGTATTTAATTTTTATTTGCTAGAAATACTCCCAAACCGGTACTACTTTGTATTTTTTCTCCCCCCCCCCCCCGTGTAATTTGCCCTTTTAGTTATTTTGTTCATTCTATTTTTCTCTTTTGTACAATTTTTCTTTATGACTTTTTTCTGTATTTTTTTCATGTTACTTTGTTTTTTTTTCTTCTTTTGTACATTCTTTTATTATTACTATTTGCTTTGTACCCTGATCTAAATGTAGGGAGAGGGATAAAATAGGCTGCGCCTGCTGCCCAGTCCTATTCACGATAACATCAGTGAATAACATACTGTTTAATTTAAAGTGACAATATGGCGCATATCTTCAAAAACAGACTTGTTAAAATTTTTTGATAAGATTTGGAATTTTTTTCATACTCATAAATGAATACACTTTCAGAAAATTACAAATTTCATAAGTAAATTATTCTGATTATTTCATTAAAATTAATAATTATTTTTGATACATAAATATATACATCGCAACGTGTTCGAGGTTCCACATTCCATGCTATACACGCATGCGTATAGGTATCACACCGGTAATTGTTTTCACTATATAATTTTGTAATAATGTGGTAGTTGTACTTTTTATATTTTTAGGATATGTATTTTAAACTGTACACATTATTCTCATTCTTTATTTTGTTCATTCAGTCATTCACTCATTCATTCAGCGCTGCGCAATGCCGATTTACTAACACTCTATGTTGTCTTGTTCAGTGTCTGTTATAAACCTAAACACCCCTATTTAGTTAAGTGTTGTATTCCAGGTAGAGTACCAGGTAATGTTGTGAATGGGTTATTCCATTAT